GGAACTGGCTCTTTCCCGCTTCCAGGGAGCAGCCAGCGCTTTCCCTCCGCGGGGCCCCGGGCCCAGGGCAGCCCCGGGCCTTCCCCGGCGCCGCCATGGACTTGGCCTACGTCTGCGAGTGGGAGAAAAAGCCGAAAAGCGACCACTGCCCGTCCATTCCCTTGGTGTGCGCGTGGTCCTGCCGCAACCTCATCGCCTTCACCACGGACCTCAAAAACGAGGAGGAAAAAGGTACGGGGGAAGGTCGGGTCGCATCTCCTGCGGCCTGGCAGCGCGGCCTGGCGAGCCTTGCCACGAGGAACCGCTGGGCTGGGCAGCCTGTGCTCTGCTGCGTCCCCAAAACACAGGAAACTTGTGCTCTTTTTCCCTTTTTTCCTGGGATTTAACGTGTGTTTTGTTCGCTGAGGAGCAGTTCTCGCTCTGCTAAACCCAGGCGAGCCCTGCATTGGCACCTGGTACCTCGCCGGAGTCGCCAAGCACGGTTGCCATCCTTCCCCAAACTGCCCGATGGAGCAGTTCTTGTCTTCCCCCGCGTGCGCCGAGGCTCCATGGGTTTCGAAATCCTGGCTGGATCCTGGTAATGAGGGACTTGGCTTCTGTTTCTTTGTAGATCTCACGCACATGGTCCATATCATCGACACTGAGCATCCGTGGGACGTCTATTCCGTTAACTCTGGCCACGCTGAAGTCATCACTTGTTTGGAGTGGGATCAGTCAGGTGAGCTCGGATCCCTTCTCCTTACCCCGTTGTCCCGCCGTTCGCCCATCCCCTAAATCGATGGGATGCCGTTTGTGGCGGAGAGGGATTTTCTCCATCGCTTCGCCGCCACGAATCGGCCGTCTCCCTTGGAACTGCCCGGGGGTGGTTTGATTTCTCGGTTGGTTGGTTTTTTTTTTTTGGGCTGTACCCCCCGGGTTCTTACGAGGCGCCGTTGTCGCAGGCTCCCGGCTGCTCTCGGCAGATGCGGACGGCCACATCAAGTGCTGGAGCATGACCGATCACTTGGCCAACAGCTGGGAGAACACCGTGGGCAGCATGGTGGAGGGGGACCCGGTTGTGGCCCTGTCCTGGCTGCACAACGGCGTGAAGCTGGCTCTGCACGTGGAAAAGGTTTGTCCCAGCTCTGCACTTGGAAAAAGTCTGTTCCAGCTCGCCGGGAATCCAGGCAGGGAGGCCAGCTCGGGTTGTTCACAAAGGCCTTCGGAAAGCCCTGTGTTCCTCTCTGCCCTGGGCTTCCTCCGTGGCCTTGGGCAAGTCGAGTAGGGGAATTTTTCCGGTCAAACGGAAAAATCCAATTCTAGTTCCAACTGAATGTCAGTGGGAATCTTCCAGGTTCAGTCCCGTAAGTCAGGTCGGAGCTGTGTGTCTGAGGGGGGGCTCTGAGAGCTTTGCTGAGGGGCTGGCGTTCCCGGAGCGGCTGGGGGGCGCAGGAGCCTCTCCGGGGTCACGGAGCAGAGCTCGGACCCCGTCTCGCTGTTGGGCTCCGCGGTGGAGCGAGGAGAGCGCCGCAGCGAGCGCGCCGGGGCTGTCGGGTACAAACATCTCTGTGTCGTTGACTTTCGTTCCCAGTCTGGAGCGTCCAACTTCGGGGAGAAGTTTTCCAGGGTCAAGTTCTCTCCGTCGCTGACGCTGTTCGGCGGGAAGCCCATGGAGGGCTGGATTGCCGTGACCATCAGCGGCCTGGTGACCGTCTCTCTCCTCAAACCCAACGGGCAAGTGCTGACGTCCACGGAGAGCCTGTGCCGCCTCCGCTGCCGCGTCGCCTTGGCAGACGTCGCCTTCACTGGCGGGGGGAACATCGTGGTGGCCACGTCGGACGGCAGCAGCACCTCCCCCGTCCAGTTCTACAAAGTCTGTGTCAGCGTGGTGAACGAGAAGTGCAAAATAGACACCGAAATCCTGCCTTCCCTCTTCATGCGCTGCACCACGGACCCTGCCCGCAAGGACAAATACCCAGCCATCACTCACCTCAAATTCCTCGCTCGGGACATGTCGGAGCAGGTGAGCCTCTGCCGTCGTTTGAGGGGACAGTGAGGAGGCTTTGCTCCGCTTTGGGCTTCCCCAACGCGGTTCCGGAGGTGAAGGATCACGTCCTGCGATGCCCTCTGCGGTTCTGGAAGTGCTGCTGGTTCAGCTTCAAGCAGGATGTGCTGGAAGGGGCTGGGGGTGTAAGGGCTGACCCCCCCAGGTGGAAGAGCAGCCCGAAAAGCCCCATCCTCGTTAGCCTGATGACGCTCTGCTCTCTTTGCTCTCCGAGTCTGGCAGTGTTGTCAGGGAGGGTCTGGTGGGAGGTGAAGCCTTTCACCTTTGGGTCTCGGCTTTCACGCAGCCCCTCCCCGGCACACTTGGGGCCCTCGCGCTGCGCAACTCATTCCGCAGCTGAACTCTCTGCCAGGGGATGGGCAGCACCATCCTGGCAAGATCAGCGGTGCCCTGAAGTCTCACCCCTCCCCATGGATGGGACGGA